TCAGTTGTTGGACATCTAGGTTGTTTCCAAGTTTTGGCTATTGTAAATAGTGCTGCGATGAACATCGGCGTGCATATATCTGTTCTTGTTATGGAATTGAGCTTTTTTGATAGGGAAAAGTACCACATTTGGCACTAAAAATAAAACCCAGACCAAACCCCCTTCCGTTGAGTATATTCTGACTCATAGTGACCTCCACTGAGTTTCCAAGACAGTAAATCTTTACAGAAGGAAATAGATTGCCCAGTCTTGCTACCATGGAGTGCCTGGTGGGTTTGAACCACCAACCTTCTGGTTAGCAGTCAGATGCCTACTAGAACAACAGAAAAGAAGACTGTGGGGAAGAGAATAAATAGGAGCTAAAACATGGGCCTCTTTTCTATTTTGGAGTCAGTCCTCCTATCTTAACTGGTCATCTTTACTGTTGAGGTCCTTGTTACATTTAGATATTTTTGCCAGATGGTTGAAGCCATGATTCAGTTCCATCTTGGGACCAGACTATGAATTATCAGGCTGGCCACCTATTCTGTGGATGGATCAATCAGTGGTTTAGAAAGAGAAGGGTTATCTATTTTGGTAGTAGTGGTACCTTAAGAGTACACTGGCTTAATGCATATTCACAGCAGACTGCATACGTAAAGTAAGTTATTGGCATCTTAGTCACATCTTCTGAGGTTCTTTAAAAACAGAGTTCTACAGTCTTTTTTATTGTTAAGCAAAGGAGATGAATTAGTTTCATGTATTGTTATTTTGTGCTGTTATTTATATTTCAGTTTATAGATTTGATGAGGTTGGAAATGAGATAATTCTTACTTTGTTCCTGACTCTAGTTTCAGAACATTCCTGTTATTGTGCTGCACAAATTTTTGGTGACTGTTAAACAATGAATTATAAGTTGGTTTTCCAAATAATATAGATGTTGGTTTTTATAGATTATACAAATCTATTTTATGACCGTGACCTGGAGTATTTTTTGGTCATTTCACTAGAAGCTTAGTATTTGCCTCTTCATTTAATTTTACTCATTAAGACCATGATCCTCACTGAACATGAACAAAGTTATGTTCTTGTGGTTTTTATTAGTATATATAATGAGCATTCTCATTATATATTGTTGTGTTTTTTGCCTTACACTTTGGGAACTTTACAGCAAAAGTAGCGTTCATTATATTGCCTTTTTTCTGGCCACTAAATTTTGTTTTATGGTCAGGATGATGAATATTATCATTCTCATAACACAATGTGCAACTACTGCCATGCAGTCATATCCATCTCATAGTGACCCCTCCTTGGGTTTCCAAGGTGTTATCACTAAGGAAGTAGATTGCCCAACCTTCCTTCCGGGGAGTGGCTGGTCAAACCCACCAGCCTTCTGGTTAGCAGTCAAATGCCTTAGGTACAACGCCACCAGCTCCCATAAGAATAGACATTTTCTTGGAATGCAGCTAATTCATACCAGCATTAATGGGGGAATAAAATGAGTATACAATTATTCTTGATATGTGTTTTGTTTTGAATTTTAATGTCACTTTAATTTAGATGTATCTGAAGCTACTTATGTTGGAAAGACATTTCATGGTTAATGAGTATTTAGTATTCAGAGTTCTTCGAGTAAATAAACCTATGTAAAATCTAATGATTATAAACATAATTTTAGGAAGGTGAATTTCAAATATAGGCTGTGATGGGATAGAACTGAGTTGGTGTTCTGAGTACACAACCCTTCTCCTCTCCCACTTCAGTCAAAGCAGCACCCTCTATCTGCTGCTTTACATATTGCGAGTCTCTGAATAAGCTTTTTATCATACTGTTCTTTTAATTGCCAAAAGCAGTTGGGATCTTGTGTCTATGACAACAGATATTTCAGTGTTTGGTATATAAGGTTAAGGATTTATTTTCTATTCCTCTACATTCTACATTTTACTTATTTGTAGTGTTATGAAACTGGTCACTTGGAGAATGACATTGCTGAATCACGTGCTGCAACTCTTTCTAAAGAGTTTGGTGAAGGTGAGTGTTTTTAAGATTTATAAAATATAACATAGAAGTAAGCGTGAAACATCTTGTCAGTCAGCTAGAACAACTGTAAGACTAGTAAGTTGCAAGTTCTAAGACTATGCATGTCACTAGAAAATTTCAGGCTTTATTTTGCAATCAGTTGACTTTGAGTTATATTGAAGCAATGTTTGAAACTATATAGAAAAATCATTTCCCTTTTAATCTAACTTCCAGACTACATTAATTTCTTGGTTTTGAGTCCTTTTTTTCTCCTTTTTCTATAGAACAGAAACTATGGAATTGTTTCTGAGTTAAAACAAACAGTCTTTCACAAATAGTTTTTCCTCTGAGCTTTGATCAGTCAGCATCTATTTGAAAAAGAGAGCTTACATTTACAACTATTCCATTGTGGTTCCCACATAAGGTCTAAGAAATCTTCTAGATTAAATTAGAGTCTGCTTCTTGGAATTTTTTCTTGGTGAATTTGTTATTACCCACAGGAAGTATGTGCAAGCCTTAATTCGAGAACAGATATGGTAATAGTTTGGGTACCTATTCTTCACCAGGTCCTTTGCTTGATGGTTATCGTCTCTAATCCATCAAAAAAAAAAAAAAAACCAGAAGAAAGAAAAAAAAAAAAGAAATGTCAAAGTAGAATATATCCGTGTTTTAGAGAAGTTACCTGAAGATGAAAGAGTTGGCAGTGCTGAACTAAATCTAGATTTTAGCAAATTTATTGCCACATTACTTATTTGTTATCCACACAATACTTTCTCCATGTTAGGTCTTTCTACCACTATAATCAGTTGTGTTCTGCTAGTGAAGACTGTCATGGGGACCTGATACTTCATGTGGTTTTAGATGGCACACTTTTTGTATGTATATATGGTGAAATTTATCTTAGAAATCATTGCAAACATTCTTTATGTGTACAATTAAGAGATTAATTGTGTTTACTATTTTGAGATGTCACTCTTCTCTTAATTATAACTTATGCTAATTAAATTTTCTAACAAGTAAATCTAGCTATATATTAGCTTATTTTAATCTTGTGAGCAATTATAGTCCCGTAGGCTGGTCTGTTTGCTTGCTTGCTTTTAAAATGAACTCCGTTCAAAACAATATCATCTGTTTTCCTGTATTTCTGTACTTAGTGTTTCTGTAGAATGAACAACCTAAACTTAATCCTTTGTAAATTTTGTTTGTGTGTTCCAGCTTATGATGAATTTCAGACTTTATTTTGCCATCATTTTAACTCTTCTTTTGATGGCAGAGCTTTCCATCTGGGTCAGATGAACCCAAGGGAGCAGCAGTCAGGCAGTCTGATACCTAGCATAAACATCCTTGAGAATTTTATAAAATAGCTGTTTAGATTCCTCTTGCTTCTATAGCACAGATCAAACGTGGACAGTAGACTATGAGAGAGAGACTAAAATTTGTTGTACTGGAAGTGACCAAGCATTCATTTTGTATTGTTGGATGTTTAAGGATATACTACTAGTACATAAATATGATTTAAGCCACTGTCTATTTAGGGATGTCTTTTTTTCCCCTCCCTACTATAAACCTAATCTTACATATTTTAGCTATTCATATTATTCTTTACTCCATGTAGTAATAGAACTTTCTGTCTTTAATCTTCGAGGCCAAGAATTAGTATCTTTTCCTGACTAGTAAATGCATTTCCTCACCATCCAAAGGATATTAAACCCTATTAAGTTTGTAATTTCTGTCACATAAAATTAAATTACTTTAATAACCTTTACATTTAGTTTTTAATCTTTAAGAGTCAAGATTTGGCTCTTTCCCTTGCTAGTTACTGAGTCATGGATAAGTTTCCTTTTTCTCTGCTTCTGTTTTCTCCTACAAAGTAGGAGAATTATACAGTCAAAAGTTGGTGTTATTTTAACATTTCATTATTCTATGATATCCCTTCATTTGAGGGATGGTAGTTCCTAGATATGTGGGTAATTAGCTGGCGGATAATGCCTGTTTTTCCTGTCATAGGTACTACCAAGATGTTTGATAAACCAAGGAAGCGTAAACGACAGAGGCTCGCCACCGCCAGGATACAATGTAAAAAAGTGAAAAATGACAACTCCTCAAAAGAGACTGCAAGCTCAGAGGTATTACTCAGTTCCTGATCTTTTTATCTTTCAAAGAAAAGCTACTTTTCACAATAGAGGCCACATCCCTCTTTCCTTTGAGTTTCCTTAAGAATAGTGTACTTTTGAAGCAGTTAACAGATATAAGGAATCCTGGAGAAAAGGGAGAGCCCTCATTCTAGTTAAATATTGAGGCACATGTGAGAAGTGTGGATATGGCCTTTTTAAAAGATCATATCCAGTGATCTAAGTGTGAGATGAAATTCATAACTAGTTCATCATTAAGCAAACTTGTTCCTCAGACCAGAGAGCCAGACTATCAAGTAATCATAAGATCTGAATGAACATGATTGAACATACTGCCCTTTAAAACTTGAGCCTGTTAATGATTAATGGGAAAGTCATTTGCTCTTTTCTTAAGACCATCATCTGCTTAATTTTAGGATAGTATTTGCAAACATTAACCTTCAAAAAACAAGGATTGACTTAAAACCATTCCTTGCAGGGCATCAGTGCAGTCATTGATGCTATCTCTAGCTTTCTAATGCAAGGTAAAGGAGAATTAGATCAGGTTAGCATCACATATTATGACTCAGAGTGTTTCTTTCCAGGACAATTTGAATAGAATGCCCAAGGGGGGGCATTATTTAGGAAACACTGATCTTGGAAGGACAAATAAGTAATCAAATAAACTTAAGAATGTTTTCTCTCCCTTAGTGAAACCTTAAAATGGAACAGCTCAAAAAGTTCCAGTGGAACAGCCTCAGAGCAGTTAGTGGCAGGGCATGAGGCGCCACTACCCGCCCAATCACAGCAGGGTTAGAACTAACATTGCATGCAGTCCGCCCGCGTGATTGGCTGAACATCTGTAAGTGCTTAATGGCTAGACAAATAGCAGCCCAGAGGGAGGGGGTCAGATGGAGGAGACACCAATAATACAGATGTCGGACGTTATTTTTTCTCTGCAAGGGAGAACTGATGACACACAGGATGGCAGCAAGCCCCAAGGATGCCCTTGAGGATGGTGTAGAGCACGACCATGGGATGCCTGTGTCTAAAAGAATGCAAGGGGAACGTGGTGGAGGAGCTGCACTGAAGGAAAATGTTTGTCAGGTAGATAATGTTTGCTTATTGGCATTTTGAGGCATTTGTTTATGTATTTATTTGGGGAGACTCCTTATGTTTTAGAGTCCAGTTGGCTGTACTCTGTAATAGAAGCTGTCTTCTAAGCCTGGCTTTTCCATGGTGATTCTTTGTGGGTTCTAACAGGCAGCATTTGGGTAACTAGTCAACTGCAGACCCACTGTGCCACCCAAGGATCTTTGCTCACTTGCATTTTGATTGCATGTTGATCATCGTGATTCCAGTGGAGTAATCACATCTTTTGTGTGTGTGTGTGTGTGTGTGTAGGTTGAGTGAAAGTTTACAGAGCAGATTCATTTTCTGTACCGCAGTCCGTACATACTTTGTATCATGACATTGATTGCAATTCCCATAATGTAACAGCTCTCTTCCCACTTCCTCCTTGTATTTACCTTTTCCCTGTGCCCTTCTTTCCTATGCATTCTTGCCCTCTGAACTGTCTTGCCATACACATTCTGCCCTTCTGATCAGCAATGGTTGATTGTCATGAAGAATGTACCTACCTGGTGTAAATGTTCACCTTATATTCCTATCTCTTGTTTGGCTGAAAGCCATGGGAGTGAGTTTAGTTCCAGGCCCAAAGAGTAACTAGGGGCCATAGTCTCAGGTGTTTCACCAGTTTCTGTCAGACCAGTTATGCTTGGTCTTTTTTCTGATTTTGAGTTTTGTTTCACATTTTTCTCCCACTCTATCCAAACCAAACCAAACCAAATCAAACTCACTGCTGTCAAGTCGGATCTGACTCATAGCAACCCCTCCTTGGGTTTCCAGCGCGATATCACTATGGAAATGAATTGCCCAATCGTCCTTCCAAGGAGTGGGTGGTGGGTTTGAACTGCCAGGCTTCTGATTAGCAGTCAGATGCCTTAGACTTTACGCCACCAGACCTCCTTCACTCTATCCAGGATCTCCTATTTTGATCCCTATTCAAGTGGTTAACAAAGGTAGCTGGGCACCATCTAGTTCTTCTGGTTTCAGGGTCATGTATGCTGAGATTCACATGGTCTACTAGTCCCTTGGACTAATTGTGTCCATGCATCATTGGTCTTCATTCTTCTTTGCTCTGGATGAGGAGATACCAATTGTTACACTTTAGATGGCTGCTTGTAAGCTTTTAAGACCCCAGTTGCTACTGACCAGAGTAGGATGTAGAATAATATATGTTATGCCAGTTGAGCTTGATGTCCCCCATGACCATGGTCCCGAGCCCTTTAAGTCCAGTGAAGAGTCACATCTTATAAATAGTTAATGCTTTCCCTTCCTTGCCAAAAAGGAAAGGAAGAGAAGTAAATTATTTTTGGTTTAAATACATACCTTTGTAGCAAACGAGTACATGCTGTGAAGCAGATTTGAGATGAGAGATGTAAATATGTTGTTACTCAGTCAAATATGGTTCTCTACCTCTTATAGTCAGAGAACCTTTGGTGTCTAAGGCATTTTTAAAAAATAATTTTAGCCTTGAGTGGTTTTTTTTGTTTGTTTCTTTGTTTTTTGCTTTCAAGTACGAACTTCAGAGTATCTGTCACTATATTTTCCCATTTATTTAATGTATAGTGTTTACTGTGTTAAACATTGTTCCAACGACTTTATCAGCATTACATTGTTTAATCGTCTTAAACTTCATAAGGTAGAGTGCCATTTTTATTCCCATTTTATATATGAGGAAACTATGGTACAGAGAGGTTAAATAATTTCCTGTATAGTCACATAAAGGAGCTCTGGTGGCGTAGTTGCCTAAAGCATTTGACTGCTAACCAGAAGGTCGGTGGTTGAAACTCACCAGCACTCTGTGGAAGAAAGTCTGGGCAATCTCCTTCCATAAGGATTTGGTCCCTCGGATACCCAAAGGGGGTTGCTATGAGTTAGAATCAATTCAGTGGCAGTGAGTTTGGGTTTTTTTGTTTAATAGTCACATAGGAGCTCTGGTGGCGTAATGGGTAAGGCATTGGGCTGCTGTTCAGAAAGTCAGTGGTTCGTAACCCACCAGTTGCTCTGTGGAAGAAAGATGGGACAGTCTTTTGCCATAAAGATTTACAGCCTTGGAAACCCAGGGGGATCACTATGAGTCAGAATCAACTTGATGGCCGTTTGGGTTTTTTTGTTTTTTTTTTTGTATAGTCACGTAGCAACGCCAGGATTCAAACCCAGGCAGTTTGGCCCTAGAGTCTTAACCATTATGTGTAATTGCCTCTCTATGAGATGTGATTGCACTGTATTGTTAAAGAGCCTTTATCTGACTTTGGAAATAAGTCAATTACATGAATGCTTTGTGTGTGTGTGTGTGTGTTTAAATGGTCATTACTTACCTATGTAAATTCTTAAAACCTGGAATACAAAAAGTTGAGAATATTAGCTCTCTTTTTTGGTAAGTTGAAACAACTAAAAATTAAAATCTAAACCCATAACATGTTTTCATTGTCAATATAATTTTAACCCAGTGTTTTTTTATATTCATTTCACTATTATATAATCATATTCTGAATAGCCCCCAGACACAATGGGTGCTTGCCCCTTCAGAAGCTGTTATTCCCATTATTTACTGAGTGAGGTAAATCAAAGTATAAGTATATTTTGTAAAGATTGTAAACAAAACACAATTGATGGCAGGATAACTGGTTACCTGTTGGAAGCTGTTGTGCTGTTAAAATTATTAATAGTACCTTTTTTAACTCTCAAGTATTCCGCATTGGAACATTAAAGGGTTGGTAAAGTATTTGTTTACTTTAAAAAATTTACTCTTCAATTTATTTTGTCACTAAAGATTTCTTATTTAAGTGGTAAAAGTAAATTCGTTTACTATACAAGAAAGGGAACTCTGGTAGCGTAGTGCCTAAGGCACTTGACTGCTAAGCAGAAGGCTGGTAGTTCTAACCCACCAACCACTCTTCAGATGGAAAGTTGGGCAATCTACTTCCACGCTCATACTGCCTCAGAAACCCAAGAAAGGGTTGCTATGAGTTGGGTTCAACTTTACGGCACATAACAACAGCATACATTTAAAGTTAATGTCATTGATACTCTGAAAGCCAAGTTGCAACATTGATGAGATTTGCCAGTTTGTGTGTATGAATAGTGAATAATGAGAGAGCTAAAAGTTTGAGAATTCCTCAGACTACAGGTTGATTAAGCTCTTGTGTGTGTGTGTATGTGTGTGTGTGTTGTGTGCCATCGAGTCGGCCCCGACTCATAGTGATCCCTCCTTGGGTTGCCGAGGCATTATCACTACCAAAGTAGATTGCCCAGCCTTTCTTCTGAGGAGTGGCTGGTGGGTTTGAACTGTCAGCCTTCTGGTTAGCAGTCAAGTGCCTTAGGCACTATGCTACCAGAGCTTTTAGTTCCCTCTAAATCCCTGGCTGCCTCACTGACCTTTCTTACCGAAATTGCTACATAAATTCTAACAAATTCTTCAGAGTAGCAGACCCAGATCCTTATTTCCTAAGCCCCTGTTTTTAGGTGATGCCTTGTACTAGGAGAGATCATCTCAGAAGGGTTGTTTCTCAGGGATAGTGCTCAACATATTTCAAGGGGCTGCCCAGATCATAGTAGGAGTTTTTTTTTGGTATTGTTAATGACCCAAGTTGCCCTGCTAGTATCTCTGGCTTGATCCACTGAAGTAGCCTCCTGTTTTGTCTCTTCTGTCTTCCTTTTTTTACTCTTGTACTCATTTTCTATGTAGCAATCAGAGGGATCTTTATAAATTGGACACCTGATTTGAGCCTTCCCTTAGTAGAACTCTCTAATGGCACCCCTTTGCAGTTAGAATCAAATTTAAAACTTTGTACCATAATCTGTTAGACTTTACAATTGGGCACTTGCCTTTTATTGTCAGGCCCTTGGTTCTCTATTATCTCGCCTTCTACTACTTACAACCTTTTCTCACATTAGTCCAATGAATACTATCTTTCTTTGTGATTCTCAAGCATGCCATGGTTGTTTCTGACTTGGTACTTTCTGTTCTTGATGCCTTCCTGGTCCTTCCCTCATACCTTCCCATGGTTGACTTATCGCTGAGAGCTCAGCTCCAAGCCTAGTCTAAGAGACCATCACTAATTGCACAATCCAAAGTAGCTATTTGAATTTTCAATCTATTACTTACCACTATCTGGTATCTTCCCTGTTTGTTTATTCATTTGTTCAACCACTGGAACCTAAAAACTTCCAGAGCTACAGACCTTGTGGTACAGAGAAGGTAATCATTAACTGTTAATGCAAAGAATGGTGGGATTTCTTGTTTCTTAAAAAGCTGCTTCTTAATCTTTGTCCTTCTGTGTGGGATTTTTTTTTTTTTAAATATTTTATACAGTGAGTTGTTTCTTTCTTTTAACAGAACTGTGAGAAACTGGGTGAGCTGCTGTTATGTGAGGCTCAGTGCTGTGGGGCTTTCCACCTGGAGTGCCTTGGGTTGACTGAGATGCCAAGAGGAAAATTTATCTGCAATGAATGTCGCACAGGTAAAATAGATGTAGAAGGTTCTTCCAAAGAAGGTCTGAGTTTTAAGTTGGTTGGTAGGGAGTGGGGAGACACCAGCATTTTTTGGAGATGTTATTTTATGGTATTACTGGCTAGTTACTATAGACACAGAGATGGATGCATTGTGGCTCCTGCCCTGAGAAAGGCATACCAAGTGAATAGTACATTATACTAATGTACTAATGTAGTGTGATAAGCATTGTAATGGAGATACGTTCAAAGTGCTGTGTGAACAAAGTTGAGATAATATTATAGAGGAAGATACTTGAATTTTAGCTTTAAGATAAAAATAGAAATTGATGTGAGGAGAAGGAAAGAAGGGCAAGCAATGAAAGTATATGAAGTATTTGGGGATTAAAACATGTAGATCAGTATAGTTAGAGTTTATGTTTTTTTAGGAAAGAGCATAAGTAACATCTGAGAAAGGGCATGAACTTAGGACTTCTAGATTCCTGTTGTTGTTGTTATGTTCCGTCGAGTCAGACCTGACTCATAGCGATCCCCCCCTTGGGTTTCCAAGGCAGAATCACTACGGAAGTAGATTGCCCCATCTTCATTCCGAGGAGTGGCTGGTAGGTTCGAACCGCCAGGCTTGTGGTTAGCAGTCAAGTGCCTTAGGCACTATGCTACTGATGTTTTATTTCTTGATCTATATGGTGATTAAATGAGCATGATCATTTCAAGATGCACACACTTAAGAATGTGTGCATTTTTCTGTATGTATATCATATTTTAATAAAAATGCTTGTCAAGAAAAAAATATCTGGGGAGAATTAAAGTATATAGATTGGGTCTGATATTGGGAATGGCCACACAAAACTCCACACAAAAAATGCTGAGGAGATTGTTCTTTTTTTCAGGATGCTTTGTGGAGATCATAGCATTTAGGCAGTGAAGAGTCCAGGGCTGGCAGTATAGGTCTTAAGCTTTGTTGATGAAGAAGGATGTCCAAGGATGATACCTATGGAAACCCACTTACAAAGGACTACTATAGAAGGAGAAGGGCCTAGTCAAAGAATATCTGTGAAGTCATGGAAATCAGGGGGCATCAGCAGAGCCAGCTGCAACAAATGGCCAAAGAGGTTCTGGAGTGAAAAGAGGCTATTGTATAGAACATTGAGAAAATGCTTGACTTTTTACCAATGATGATGTTGTTATGTGCTGTTGAGTTGGACCCAACTCATAGTGACCTCTCCTTGATTTTCCGAGGTAGTATCACTACAGATATAGATTGCCCAACCCTCCTTCTGAGGAGTGGCTGGTGGTTTTAAAGCGCCGGCCTTCTGATTAGCAGCCAACTACCTTAGGCACTATGCTACTAGAACTCCCTTTTACCAATAGTATGTGGTATACATAAAAGCGAGAATAAAATAGTCTTGAGGGTGAATGGCCAGCAGTGCCTACTACTTATGAAGGTTGAATAAAAGGAAAGGAGAGCAGTACCTAAAGGAGGATAGTTTAGGGTCATGGGTAAGAACATCTTAAAGTTTGTAGGATGAAGGTTAGGAACCAGTGTAAGGTAATCAATTTCTGCAGTACAAGAGGGGATATTAAATGAAGTACAATCCAAGAGGATTGAGAGGGTAGTCTTAAAGAGAAACAGATCTACCAGTGGCAGAGAAGTATATCATGGAGGCTGGAGGTAGTAGGAAGCTGAGAAACTTACTTCTTAGGTTGGTGAGAACAATGGTAAGAGTGAAGGCTTATAAGTAGCCTCTGGCAAATAAGAGAAAGAATAAATTCACGTCTATAAATAGATGTGAAGTCTGGGCAGTGAGAGATCGAGAGCTCTAGTTGAGACAGTTACTTCATTTTTTTTTTTTTTTTGCATCGTTTTCAGCAGTGTGGGATCAAAAGCTGGAAAAAAATATAGATGTAGGATTTTTTTGCTTTATGCATATTTATCCTTTGGAGCAATTTGGGAAATAGTGCCATCTACCCCTAAATATTCAATTTACAAAGAACTTCAAGGTAGGACCCAAAACTATATATAGGTTTGACAGAGGCTGTCTCTACCTGTGTATTTATTTGTTCTGTAATATACATCTATGAATGTAGTAGAGCTTATCAGGGAACAAAATTAGGAAAATGTCTTAGTCATAAGCACCTTTGAGTGAATAAATCGCAGGATATGGAGGCTCAGAACCATAATAGTCTCATGCGGACACTAAGGTCAATTGGCATAGCATAGTCCACAAAGATAGTGTCCTACATCCTACTGGTGAGTAGTGACTTAGGTATTAAAAGGTTGTGAACAGCCATCTAAGGTGCAACTATGGGTCGCTCCATGCCTGGAGCAAAGAAGAGTGAAGAATATCAAAGACAGGACTAATGGACTAAATGAACCCCAGCCCTCTACAACTCGACAGACCAGAAGAACAAGTTGTTGCCCAGCTACCACTGTTGACTACTCTGAAAACAATTGCAATAACAAGTCTTGGATGGAGTGGGGGATAATGTGGGGAAAAAAACCTTGAAAATCATAATAAAGACCAGATTTACTGGTCTGATGAAGACTGGTAGAACTCTTAAGACTGTGGTCCTTAGATAACCCTTAATGCTAGGAACTGAACTTAACCTCTGTGACTCAACTGGCAGCCAAACATTAGAAAAAGGTATAAGGTGAACAGTAATGTTAGGAAAATATGCACTCATTACAGCAATCAAGCATATGAGATCAAGAGGATAGTATCTACCCAGAGACAAAGCTAGGAGAAGGAAGAATGAAGGGAAGGAGTGAAGATAGGGAGCAAGTAGGAAGAGCACTATTACTTTGTGAGGATTGTAGAAATGTCACAAAACAGAATGTGTATGGATTGTTGAATGGAAAAACAATTTGAAAGCCCAAATCACAGTTTAAAAAAAAAACAAAACTTTGAGGTAGGGGCATGTCTCTATCACCTTAATCTTTATGTTGATGTGTAATCCATATGGCAGACTGTAGTCTTTGATCTTCATTGGTAAGTGCTTCAAGTCATCTTCACTTGCAGTAAGCAAGATGTGTCATCTGCATATCACAGGTTAATAGCCTTCCTCCAATCCTGTTGCTGCATTTTTTCCCATATAGTCCAGCTTCTTGGATTATGTGCTCAGCATTCAGATTGAGTAAATGTGGTGAAAGGATACAACCGTGACACACACCCTTTCTGATTTTAAATAATGGTATATCCTCTTCTGTTTGAATGACAGCCTCTTGGTCTATGTACAGGTTCCTTATCAGCATAATTAAGTGTTCTAGAATTTCCATTCTTTGTAACATTAGCCATAATTTGTTATGATCCATAGTTGAATGCCTTTGCATAGTCAATGAAACACAAGTAAACATCATTCTGGTATTCTTTGCTTTCAGTCAAGATCCATGTAACATTAGCAGTGATATCCCTAATTCCATGTCCTCTTCTGAACCCAGCTTACGTTTCTGGAGGTTCCCTATTGTTATACTGCCGTAGCCATTTTTGAATTATCTTCAGTAAAATATTACTTGTGTTTGATATTAATGATACTGTTCTGTAATTTTACATTCTGTGGGATCATCTTTCTTTGGAATGGGCACAAATACCAATCTTTTCCTGTCAGTTGGGCAGATAGCTGTCTTCCAGATTACTTGGCATAGATGAGTAATTGCCTCCAGCGCTACATCTGTTTGTTGAAACATCTTAATTGGGTATTCTGTCAATTTCTGAAGCCTTGTTTTTCGTGAGTTCCTTCAGTGCAGTTTGTACTTTTTCTTATAATAGTATTGTTTATTGATCATATGCCACCTCCTGAAATAGATGAACATCTACTAGTTCTTTCTTATTAATTAATTAATTCATTCATTCATTCTTTAAATGCTTCCTGCATCATTCAATACTTTGCCCATGTTGTTGGTGTTAGGTGCTATCGAGTTGTCTTTGACTCTTAGTGACCCCATGTACAACAGAGCAAAAGACTGCCCAGTTCTGTGCCAGCCTCACTATCCCTGCTATACCCTAGCTCATTGTTGCAGCCACTTTGTCAGTCCATTTCGTTGAGGGCTTCTTCCTTTTTCATTGACCCTCCATTTTACCAAGTATGATATCCTTCTCCAGGGAATGATTCCTTCTGACAGCATGAGCACAGTTGGTGAGACGAAGTTTGGCCATTCTCGCTTCCAGGGAGCATTCCAGCTGTATTTCCTCCAGACAGATTTGTTAGTTCTTTTAGCAGTCCATGGTATTCTCAGTATTCTTCACCAGCACAACTCAAAAGCATCACCTCTTTTTCTGCCTTCCTTATTCATTGCCCAGCTCCCACATGCATAAGAGGCAATTGAAAATACCATGGCTTGGGTGGTGGTGGTTGTTAATGCACCTTTGAGTCAGTGTGGCTTGGTTTAGATGCTCCTTAGTCTTCACGGAGACATCTTTGCTCTTCAGCACTTGAAAGAGGTATTTTGCAGCAGATTTGCCCAATGTAATATGTCATCTGATAACATTTTGCCCGTAGAATCCTTCAGTATTGCAACTCGAGGTTTAAATTCTTTGTTCAGTAAATCTTCACCCAAATCAAAAAAAAAAAAAAAAAAAAAAATCTTTGTTCACTTCTTTCAGCTTGAAAAATGCCAAGGGTGTTCTTCCCTTTTGGTTTTCTACTCCAGGTCTTTACTCACTTTATTATAATAATTTACTTCGTCTTCTCAAGCAGCTCTTTGAAATCTTCTGTTCAATTCTTTTATTCCGGCATTTCTTCCATTAACTTTACTCTCTGTGGAAGAGGAAGTTTCAGAGTGTCTTCTGACATCCATTTTTTTTTTCCCCCTTCCTATCTTTTTAATTACCTTTTGCTTTCTTCATGTATCATGTTCATGATGTCATCCCCCAAGTCATCTAGTTTTCAGCCATTGGTGTTGATTTCTTCAGATCTCTAAATTTAGGTGAGATAGAATTAAGGTCATATTTTGGCTCTTACGGACTTTTTTTTTAAATGGCCTTAGCTTCAGTTTGAACTTGTATATAAGCACTTGATGGTCTGTTCCAGTCAGCTCTTGGCCTTGTTTTGGCTGAAGATATTGAGCTTTTTCATTGCCTTTTGCCACACATCTTGTGTGGATCTGACTCCTGTATTTTCCATCTGGCGAAGTCCATGTGTATAGCTGCTGTTTATGTTGTTTAAAAAGATACTTGCTATGAATAAGTCATTGGTCTTGCAGAATTTTTTCATGTGATCTCCAGCGTCATTTCTATCACCAAGGCCATATTTTCCAGCTACCAGTGATTCTTCTTTGTTTCCAACTTTTACATTTCAGTCAACATTAATTATCAGTACCTTTTCTTTTCTTTTTCTTTTTGCATGTTTGATCAGTTTGATCAGTTTCAGACTGCAGAACTTTGGCTTTAGTGGTTGGTGCTTACGTTTGAATAATAGTAGTAGTAAGTGTTCTTCTGTGTAGGTATATGGATATTATCCTATCACAGGCAACTTGTATTTCAGGATAGATTTTGAAGTGTTCTTTTGATGTTGAATGTGATACCATTCCTCTTCAGTTTTTCATTATCAGCATAGTAAACCATGTGATTGTTCAATTCAGAATGGCTAAAAATAGTCCATTTTAGCTCACTAATGTGTAGAATATAGATCTTTATGCATTCTATTTCATTTTTGACAACTTCCAGTTTTCCTTGATGAATATTTCATATATTCCACATTCTGATTATTAATGTAGGTTGATGCTGTTTCTTCCTATTTTGAATCATTCACCATCAGCAAGTGGAAGTCCCAAAAGATTAGCTTTACTCCATCCATGTCATTAAAATTTAGTATACTTTGAGGAGGCAGCTCTTCCTCATTCGTATTTTGAATACCTTCCAGCCTGGGGGGCTCATGTTTTGGCACTATATCAGACAGTGTTTCAGCGATGTTCATAAAGTTTTCCAGTAATAATATCAGTGTTTCACTGCTATTCATCAAGTTTCCACTGGCCAAGTTTTTCAAAAGTGGATGACCCCATCCTTCTTCCTAGTCTGTTTTAGTCTGAAACTTTTCCACTATGGTTTACCCTCCAGATATCCCAAATACTGATGGTATAGCCTCCAGCCTTATAGCAATAATGCAAGCCACTACAGTGCAAACTGAAAGACAAGTGATGGTAATCAACTTTATTGGAGTATAATTTATCCATTATAAAATACATCCATTTTAAGTCTATACTTCAGTGGCTTTTGATAAACTTAGACACCCAACTAACCACAACAGTAAGCATATAGTACTTTTGCTTTCTTTTTTTTTTTTTTTTAACATTTTTATTATGATTTGAATGAAATTTTACAGGGCAATTTTCTTTACTTTTACATTATTTAAAAAAAAAGTTGGTCCTCACTGCTTCTTCCCATCTACACCCCAACCCAGGTCCTAAGCTCCAAGCAACCACTGATCTGCTTTTTGTTACAATAGACTAGATTTATCTTTTCTAGAGTTTTACATAAATGGTGCTTTTGAAGAGAGGCAGTTTTAAAGTTTGATGAAGTCTGCTTTATCAGTTTGTTCTTTTTGTGGTTATACTTTTTGGTGTCAGATCAAAGAAACCTTTGCCTAACCCATGTCACAGAGTGTCTCCCATGTTTTCTTTGCAAAACGTTACAATTTTAGGTTTTATATTTAGGTCTGTGGAATGAAGCATAGAGAAGCTATTCTTTTTGAACATAGGAATTGTGAGATACCCCAGTTCCAGTGAAGTTGAACATTGTTTCTTACAGCATATATCGCACTCTGTTTTCCTACAGTGTGACCGTACTATAATTCAGGTCAGTGCAGTTCAGTAATAGCTGCCAGCTTTTCAGCAGTAGTTTGCTTCATTATAAATAATATTTTCATATTTACTCACTAAAATGGTGAGTAGCTTGGTGATCTCAGTGTTAGTGGGTGAGTTGGGGTGATTTGAATGAGTTCCTGTTTCCAGCAAGATTCAGGTCTAGCTCCCAGTGCCTCTCTACCTGGCTTCCTTTTCTTATATTGTACCTCCCTCTCAGAGAAAGGTGAATTCCTTTTTATTATTACTGAAATCTTCAGACATACAAAGTAGAATGAAAAGTATAAAGAAACTATGTATCCATCATTTGGCTTCAATATTTGTTAAAATTCTGCTTGAGACATTATATCATTTTACACATATATTTCAAAAGACTTCTCTATCATATATAAATTTTACAGACATACTTAATGTGTACCAAAATTATACAGTATCTCCTATGGGTTACCTACTACCTGGGTCATTTTCAGATTTTCCCATTTGTGTCAAAGATGTTTTTTTACATTGTTTTGAATTAGAATCCAATTATAGACTATCCATTACATATTTTTATATTTATTCTAATCTGTGACAGTACTGCCTCACAATCACACTCTACTTTGGAGACTTATTATACAGTTCTCATATCAAACTTTTATAGTGCATTTGGTGTTTAAAATCCACAGTCCCAATAGTGCTTTGCTTTATGTTTAACTGTTGTCTTTAATTTTCTACATTCTAGATTTGATTGACTCCATCCTTATAGTGATTATTTGAATCTGTTTCCCTGTCCTCCACCTTTTATATAAACTTGACCTTAGATCTAGAAGCATTGTTAAATTCAAATGCTTTTTTTTTTCTTTTGGCAAGACTGCTTCTTGAGTTCTGTTTCTTCACATCTCTAAGCCTGTAACCTCAGATTGTCTTACTTAGTAAGATGGTTCTGTGGGTACAGATTTTCTCAACTTGATAAGTCCATTATAAAGTTCCTCATTAACTTTTCACCTAATTTTTTACCTTGTTTCATTTCCTCAGGAATCCATACCTGTTTTGTATGTAAACAGAGCGGGGAAGATGTTAAAAGGTGCCTTCTGCCCTTGTGTGGAAAATTTTACCATGAAGAGTGTGTCCAGAAGTATCCACCCACTGTCATGCAGAACAAGGGCTTCCGGTGTTCCCTCCACATCTGTATAACCTGCCATGCTTCTAATCCAGCCAGTGTTTCTGCATCTAAAGGTATGGGTTTCTATGTAGAGCAATCTAATTGTCCGACCTCAGTTTCATTGGTAATAGATACATAGTCAGATCCATTCTGGCAAGTATCTTCATGACTTCCCTATAGCTTTGGTCTGTTAGTTAGAATACCAGCTTTGTATGTAGGAGAGAAGAGAGAGTTCAGCAGTTACTGCATTGTGTTCTTTGGAGCCCTGGGATTATATGGTCATTATAAATAATTGCTTTTCATGTGAGATTCAGTTCGCAAATAAGTTTTATTGCCTGTCCTTTCCTTCCTACCTTTTTGTAAGGGGAGAGAGAAAGGATGGGGATAGAAAATCTCTAGATTAGAGAACCAAAGTGTGATCATCTTCTATGGGCCTTTAAATCTGTTGTGTCAGATGTTATGCCACTTAGAAATGTATGTCAGTACAGAATTGAGATTTTTGATTGCTTGCTGTCCTGAAACTTTTTTCTGCTTCATAGTTAGATTGAGAGCAGAAGTTTTTTAAAACTGCCTCGAGGTATAGATAAACTTATGTTTTGAATTCTCTTCTTATTAAGTATTTAATAGTTTTTTTCTGTTCAACAATAACTGGACCTATTATTGATATTTTTAAAAGCCAAATATTGTGTGTGTACTACTTTTGTGCTATAGAGCCTCTGCCTCTGCAATAGTTGATTGTTGTTGTTGTTGTTTTTATGTGCCATCACGTTGGACCTGACTCAGAACGACCTCTCCTTGGGTTTCCGAGGCAGTATCACTACGGGAGTAGATTGTCCAGCCTTCTTTCCGAGGAGTGGCTGGTGGGTTTGAACTGCCAGCCTTCTGGTTAGCAGTCAAGTGCCTTTGGCAAAATGCAGCAGTGTAGACTTTTCTCTTAATCTGATTGGCAATACCTTTTGTATGGTGATATTTTTTAGGCCTATCTGTCTTATCAAGGATGCCTGTTTGCTCAATGGTTAGGTACTCCGCTGCTAACAGAAATTTCAGTGCTTTGAACTCACCAGCTACTCTGAGGAAGAAAGATGGCGCAGTATGTTTCTGTAAAGATTATTGCCTTAGAAACCATATAGGGTGGTTCTTCTCTGTTCTATATATAGAGTCATTATGGGTCAGAACCAACACGATGGTAGTGGGTTTGGGTTTTTTTTTTTTTTTTAATAGGAGTCATCAGTTCTGAGTATAGAATTTTAACATGCTAGAATGAAATTGTAGTTTGACCCATCAGCTACTTTTTCTCTCTCTCTCTTTTTTTTTTAATTGAGATTATAGATTTTTATATAGATGATTTGGTAATGATTTTACTTGTTGAGGTATATTAGAAGGTGTATTTCATTTCAGAGGATGGAAAGGTTCACCTGAAAGAGGTTTCAAGAATCACAGAGTACCAGGCAATAAAAACTGGTTTTAGTGCTCCTCCCAGCTGTCTTTTATTATGATGCCCAACCCTCCTCCTTTTCCCCTCATCTAGTCTGTGACTAAGACCAGATTTCCTATGAATCCAGGGCAGTGGTTCACGGAGGGCTTTTCTATAAGCAGAGTGTCACTTATAATTATGGGATTGGACTCCTTTTGGATATTTATCATACAGTTCTTGTATGAAGATTTCATGGTGGGTTAGGTATTTAAGATCCATGGTCCCATTGGTTCTCTCTCTTTGTTAGCAAATAGACTTGAATGACAACTCAGGTTTTTATATTTAATCTCTTTGGTTTTTTGTTTGTTTGTTTTTGCTCCTCCCTGGTGTCTTTGTTTCTCATATTTTCAGGTCGCCTGATGCGCTGTGTTCGCTGCCCTGTGGCATACCATGCCAATGACTTTTGCCTGGCTGCCGGGTCAAAGATCCTTGCATCTAATAGTATCATCTGCCCTAATCATTTTACCCCTAGACGAGGTTGTCGAAATCATGAGCATGTTAATGTTAGCTGGTGTTTTGTGTGCTCAGAAGGTAAGACGTTATTTCTTGCTGTCTGAGTAGTCTAAAAAAGGATTAATACAATGTTTAAATTGTAACAAACATATGTTTTTTCACATTGCCAGCAAAAGCAGTATTAGGAATTGATCTCCTAAATTAATGACAACATAAAAAGACTTTTTTTTAAGCATGCTTTTTAAGCTCCACAATAGGGAGAGGTTTTGCTTATTTTGAAGAATGACTTGATTTTTATTACAATGATAAACAGTTTTAAGCAATACAGAAAAGGACAGAGAAAGAAAAAGAAAACCAACCCAAATCCAACCATCAGAATTAACCATTCCTAATAGTAACTGGCATTACTTCAGAAATCTTTGCATATAAGCAGATGTAGGAATTGCTATATGTTCTAGAAAATGGGATCAAAGTATATTTGCTATTTTTTAAAACAACTTTATTGAGAAACAGTTCACATACATAATACAATTCACCCACTTAATATGTAAAATTCAAAGTTTTTTTTAGGCTATTCACAGGTATTCATAGATAATAAATTTGATGAAGCCTATGTATTTTGTCTTACGTTACTCATGATTTTGGTCTTTATCTAAGATTCTGTTGTCAAAAACGAGGTCCCTAGGCATTTTCCTTGTGCTTTGTTCTAGTTTCATGGTTTTAGTTCTTATATTTAGCTTATTGATCCATTTTGAATTGATTTTTGTATATAGTATGAAGTCTGTATACAGCTTCATTCTTTTGTATTTCCAAATCCATTTGTCCCAGCACCATTTATTGAAGAGACTGTTCTTTTCCCAGTGAATATACTTAATATCTTTGTTGGAGAGCAGTTGAACATAAATACTTGAGATTATTTTTAAATGCTCAATTATGTTCCATTAGTATATATATCTATTCTTACACCGGTACAACTTGGTTACTGTAGCTTTACAGTATGTGTGAGTCCTCCTACTTTGTTCTTTTTCATGAGTACTTGTTATTCAATAAGGCCTTTTGTGATTCCATTTAAGTGTAAGGATTGACCTTTCCATTTCTGCAAAAGAGGCTACTAAAATTTTGTTAGGGATTTCATTGAGCCAGTAGGTTGCTTTCACTAGTATTGACATCTTAACAATATTAAGTCTTCCAATCCATGACCATAGGATATCCTTCTATTTATTTAGGCAGTGTTTAATTTCTTTCAGCAATGTTTTACAGTTTTTAGTAGACAAATCCTCCACCTTCCTTGTTAAATTTATTCCCAGCTTTTTTATTCTTTTAAGGAGCCCTGGTTGCACAGTGGTTAAATGCTTGGCTGCTAACCAAAACAGCAATCGTTTGAACCTACTAGTAGCTCCACAGGAGAAAGATGTGGCAGTCTGCCTCTGTAAAGATTATACCCTTGGAAACACTATGAGACAGTTTTACTTTGTCTTACTCTGTCCTGTAGTGTCACTATGAGTTGGAATTGACTTAACAGCAATGGGTTTGCTTTATTTTATTCTTTTAGACACTGTAGAATTGCTTTATTACTTTCTTTTTAGATTGTTCGTTGCTAGTATGTAGAAACTGAACTGATTTTTGTTTGTTAATCTCGTACTCTGTAAGTTGGCTGAATTTATTCAATAAATATGATAGCTTTCTTGTGGATTCTTTGAGATAGCCTATATGTAGGATCATGTCATCTGTGAATAGAGATAATTTTACTTCTTCCTTTTTGATTTGGATGCTTTTATTTCTTTTTCTTGCCTAATTGCTCTGGCTGGAACTTCTGGTATAATATTAAATTATAGTGATCCAAACAGACATCCTTATCTTCTTTCTTTTAATAAGGGAAAAATTTTTAGTCTTTCATCATTGAGTATGAAGTTAATAGTGAGTTTTTCATAAATTCACTTTATCATGTAGATATTCTCATCTATTCTTTATTAAGTATTTTAGTTTTTGAAAGAATGTTAGATTTTGTCAGATACCTTTTCTGTGTCAATTAACATGATCACATGGCTCTTTTGATAGGTTGTATTAATGTTGTTGTTCTGGTTACCTAGTGCCACTCTGACAGGAAACATAAAACAAATGGGATGGCCTTAACAAACAGGAGTTTATTTTTACAAAGTGCCAGGTTCTAGGGGCTGGAGGAAATCCCCTCAACCTTAGGGGTCCAGCTCTGTCTCCTGCTCCCTGCCCACGGGAGCTGGAGGCATTTCTTTTCTTAGATAGCTGCTGGCTGCTGATGCTGAGAAGCCCCAAATTGACAAGTAAAAAGGCACAGTCCTGATGTTACCAAACCACAGGCAGGCCATTAACTTAAGTCCCTTTTAAGTCCCAAGGTCGGCAGAGCATAGCAGCCTGCTGACCAATGACATGACTACATGCAGGGTCTAAGTGTGCCATAGGCTAGAGACCATTCCCAAGGCTTCTTCTTAAATACAGGAAGCAGACCACATCCTACAGGCAGCTATTCAGCTGCTTGTGGTAGATCCCACCATGGAGTTGATTGCCAGTCTCAACATGAGAAATAACTACCATCCCATGCCCAGCCATTCAGCCAGGCCCAGCCAAGTTGACACACAAACATAACTACCACAGTTGTGTATTACAATGATTTATTTTCTTTAGTTCAGCTATGCTTGCATTCCTGGAATAAATTCCATTTGACATGATATTAATTGTTTTTATATGCTGTTGGATTTGTTTTGCTAGTATTTTTTAGGATTTTTGTGTTTATATTCATAGGGGTTATTAGTCTACAGTTGGGTTTTTTTTTGGTGTGTGTGTGATCTTTGTTTTTGGTAACACTAGCCTCATACAATGAGATCGTAAACATTTCTATTTGTTTTAGAGTCTGTTTCAGTAGGTTGTGCCTTTCTAGGTGCGGTGCATCGAGGTAGAAAAGTCATGGCCCATGAGAGAAATCCCTTCCAGGACTGGAAGTTAAAGGAAGCTGGCAAGTTGATGGCCTTCAAATCTGTTTTCATGTGACCACCTGGGTTCCCTTGAAGAGTGTAAATGGGGGAAATGCAGCAATGAAGAAGCTGGCTGAATTGGGTATTCTTTGACCTAGGCCATGGAGGCTTGGGATGAGAGGAAGGGATAGCTGGTCTAAAGTACAAGAAGTTGTGTGGAGCCTACGTGGATTGAACTATTCTCTGAGGACTAAGGATGAGAAAGAGAGAGAAAGGATGCTGGCTGGTCGGAAGTAAAGGGAGGAGTTTGACTCCCAAACATGGCAGGTAGTACCTATGACCTAGCTGGGATGGCTAGGGCTGAGCTGACCAATACCCAACCAAATGAAGAGGAAGAGGAAGAGCTGGTGTTAAGTTGCTGTAATTTGATGGCTTGCATTGGGTTGGACCTTGCTTATTTATGGACGCAGATGCCCAAAGTTGCAAACAGAACAGAAGATTCTTGTCTCCTCAGTACTGGTTTGATAGGGATGCACACATTAGAAATTAGCTATCAAAAACAGGGGGAGATAAAGGCATGAAGTAGTTGGCTTACATGCTTTTTATGGGTGTGGTTATTCTCAAACTGATTGTGAATGGCATGTTAATTTTTGAAGTATGAAAGAGACAATGGCTAGAAAAGCTGGGGTTGGCCGGGGGTGTAGTGAATTATATGGTTTGGTTTTTCTAGCCATAGTCTTTGTAACTCCCACCAGATTACTGGGTGGGATCATGCAAATATGTGTCCACTTGTCTGTGCAGCTGGTAGTAGTTATTTCCTATAATGAAACTGGTGATTAACACCGTGGTGTCATTTGCCTTGAGCAACAGAGTAGTTGTTTTTAAATTCATCCACATGGGGCATTTCTGTTGGAGCAGCATGGAGGAATCTTCTGTGAAAGTTCACTCTCACGTGTGTAGAACTCTGATGTTGGGATTGGTTAGTTTTGCTATTCTTCCAGGCTTAAAATGAACAGTTTTAGAGGCAGAAGAGGAATCTCTCACTGCTGAGAGACCCAGTGCTGAGAGAGACAATGGCAGTGGAGCCAAGAGGCACGGGACAGAGCAGCAGGCTTATCTGGCCCTCAGAGGCAGAGGCCAGGCCGAGAGGCCAAGGGCTAGAGAGGTGTGTCTATGAGCTCAGCAGAGGGAAGACTGCCTGATCGAGGAACTGAATCCTGAGCGCATTCCTGAACTTTAGTTGTGGCCTGTTGCTTCCCTAATAAACCCCGTAATCTGTGAGTTCTGTGTGGCCACTGCAGTGAATTATCAAACCCAGCAGAGAGCTGGTGAGTGCCACGGGAGAGACGTTAGTGTCAAGGATGGTAAGAGGGCTGGAGAGTGGCAGCATGTCTGACCTCATCAGAGCAGGTCTTGGTCTGCTGCTGGTGATTCTGTCTTCCATTTATGAAGTTAGAGGAGGTCAGAAGATGCTGTCTCTTTGCCCCTTTAGCACTAGAAATTTCCTCTATTTCATCTAAGCTACTTAATTTTTTGGCATATAGTTGTTCGTAGTATTCCTTTTTATTTCTGTAAGGTCAGTTAGTAATGTTCTTACTTTCACTTCTGACTGTAGTTCTTTGTGTCTTCTTCCCCCTACTTTTGTTGTTGTTTTGTCACTTCTAAATCCATTCATTTCAGTCTTCTCTCTTTCTGTTTTGCTCAATCTGGCTAGAGTTTTGTCATTTTTAAAAAAATCTTTTCAAAGAATCAGCTTTTAGTTTTTCTATATTTTCTTATTCTCTACTTCATTAATTTCCATTGTAATCTTTGTTATTTACTTTCTTCTTGTTTAGATTTAATTGGCTCTTTTATAAATCAGTGTGGTAATGTTTAATGTTTCTATTTCTTAAAGTGTTTTGTCTGATATCTTGTGGTTGCTGTTTGCTTTATAAATCTTTTTCTGTCCTTTTACTTTCAATCTATTTAGTCTTTGAATCTAAACTGTCTTCTGTAGACAGCATCTAGTTGTATTGTGTTTTTTATTTTGTCTGCCAATGATGTTTTGATTCAGTTGTTTAATCCATTCGTATTTAATGCTGTTATTAATACAGTTGGATTTATGCCTGCCATTTTAATTTTTGTTTTCTA